TCAAGCCCCGAGTGCCACATGACGGAGTAAGCTCCCATCTCTGGCCCCAGCTCCTGCCAACCTAGCACTTCTAAAGCAAGAAATTGCAAGTAGATAAATAGGTACTGCTTTGGTGGGAAGGTAACAGCATTCCGTGCACCTTGGTGTTTAGTCATGCCGGCCACATGACCATGGAAAACGTCTTTGGACAGCACTGGCTCTTCAGCTTGGAAACGGAGATGAGCACCGCATCTCTTGAGTCAGATTCGACTGGCTTTCGAGCAAGGGAAACCTTTACCTTTACCTAAAACCACAACCCCATCCCATCACCAATAAGGGGATAACAGCAGTGACCCAGCTTTCAAGGTTGTACTAAGTATTACTCAGAGGATGTGTATGAGACATTAAAGGTAAAGGTTCCCTTGCTCGAAAGCCAGTCGAATCCGACTCAAGGGTTGCGGTGCTCATCTCCGTTTCAAAGCCGAAGAGCCAGCGCTGTCCGAAGACGTTTCTGTGGTCATGTGGCCGGCATGACTAAACACCGAGGCGCACGGAACGCTGTTACCTTCCCACCGAAGTGGTCCCTATTTATCTACTTGCAATCTCTTGCTTTCGAACTGCTAGGTTGGCAGGAGCGTATGAGACATTATGGACACTCAAAAGTGTTATAGAAGTGAAAAATATATTTGTACTTTGATTTGCCAATTTTCTTATAACACTAGAATAATGAATCATGATTAAACAGTGAAATGCCTTTATTAGAAAAATATATACAAAAGATAATAAAAAAGTCACAATTCTAAAATTTCATTTGTTACATCAAAAGGTAACAAAGGCCCCATCTAGCCACCTCTTGTGGCCACAGCACTGCCAACACTGAACTGCTTTGTTTCCCATCATTCATTTCAGTGCAGGGACATACTGGCTACTAATACAGAAGCTTATATACAGAGTTCATTTTGTAATGAAAAACTGTTAAATTACAGCCTCTTAGAAGTTGCATATAAACGTATTCCATAACTCAAGTAAAAATCCAAGTTATTTCAATGAGATGTTACCCTAAGAATTCATTCATACATTTGATAAAGGACATCATTCCAATAAAAAGCACATTTATACCTTGTCCTTCATGCTGAACATGTATCCTATATGGCTGTATACATTCATTTTTTTACTTGGCTCAATATGGCAAAAAAGTTGATAATTTTAAAACTCGTTCCAGTTTCTTTCAAGTAGAACAATTTCACAGATGTTCAAGTACAGCAATTATTGCTAAGATACACATAGCATGTATGTATCACGCCAACCTCTAAGAAATGGAACTAGTTTCCACGTGTGGCGTTTTTACCTCAGCAAAAATCAATATGTATCAATAAAAGACAGCTGCACAGATTGTACTCTACAGATTTTGTTCTGCATTTTTTACAAAATAGAGACATCTGCCTTTATCTTCTACAATTTTTATATTCTTGATTAATAATTCATTCCGTAAATTTTCATAAATATGGGTAAGCTTCACTTGCTGTAGTCCATTTAATAATTTACATAAAGCATTCTCAGGTCCAAACCTGTCACATAAAGTTTTTACCATACGATGCTTTTGTTCACGGGCATCAGAAGGATAATCGTGGATTATTATGTCTATTTCATTATCTGATAAACCAGCATTCCTCATAAGCGTTGTCCAGTCACGAACCAACACCTTATTTGTTAGCTCTTCACAGATTTCGCTTAGCTCTAAAATATAAATTTTAAAAGTCAGTGAGTTCTAATCACACTTTGTACACTTATTTACATCCAAGTTATTTTAGTCACGTCACCACTTGAAGCAATCTTTAGAATTTTTCTTTCCCAATACAACGTATTCAGACATTCTAACATTAGCTTTTGTTCACTACAATGGAAACACATTAAATCAGACAATATATAGTAGTTTTGTCAAAACTAAATGAATTATTGTGGCTACTGGAGGCCCATGCTGAAGGTGCTTTGAGAACTATGTAATTCTTCACCTCCACTGCTCTTAGCGAAGTGCAATCATCCACTTGACTTTTCTCTCTACCTATTTTCCCTCTCCTTCCAAACTGATGCCTCAGGAATCATCTGTCCATAACTCTGGCTCACCCCCCCCCCACCTGAAGACTCATTTCCTAATTCTTCTAACTGTTTCCCTTGAACTGCTGCAAAACTGCTACTGATTCATATCCCCTTCCACCTGCCCTACCTCACCAAGTAATTCAGCCAATGGCAGTTAGGGACCCCTTTACCTGTTCCATTTCTCTGCAATAGCAAGGCAACTCAGCCAATTCCATCCAAAAGCTCCACCACCAACACCGCACAGTTCCTCAGCCCATTACAAGGTAGATTCACTGAAAAACCAGAAGTGAGCTAATCTATCAGCCCCCTGTGTGAGACAGGATGCTGGACTAGATGGACCATTGGTCTGATCCTGCAGGGCTTTTCTTATGTTCTTCTACAGCATGCAAACAGCTGTTCAATGTACACACAGACACTCCTCCCACCCACTATCCACTGAAACTAAAATGTCCTACGTCATGAGGAATGCAGATTCACTGTTGCATCTCCACATGCACAAATAGTCACACACAAACAAGTAAATTTAGAGGGTTTTCTCTCCAATTGCCATCAGCCTTAGTTCTGCAGTCACTTCTCATAAGGAAAACTTCTCACAAACATCACTTCTGGTGGTCAAGCACTTGGTTCCAGGACATAAACATTCACCAAAACCTACTGCTTTTTAAATAATAAAACACTACACAGGCCAAGTTCTTTAGAATAAGTCGTTTTCGAGTTAGAGTATAGTGTCCCCTCCACCTCTATTTAGGAATACATGAAGCTAATGAAACAAAAGGTTTTAGATAGCTATCCAAAGAGAATGAATTATTGTTTAGGTTTATACTCAGACGAGGGAGACGTCTACTCTCTTTCTTGATTTTAGGGTAACCAAGCTCAAATCAAACAGAATTATTGTTGCCCAGTACTGTCTTGCTGGTCTAACAGCCCACCCACTGAAACTAAAATGTCCTATGGAATGCAGATTCACTGTTGCATCTCCACATGCACAAATAGTCACACACAAACAAGTAAATTTAGAGGGTTTTCTCTCCAATTGCCATCAGCCTTAGTTCTGCAGTCACTTCTCATAAGGAAAACTTCTCACAAACATCACTTCTGGTGGTCAAGCACTTGGTTCCAGGACATAAACATTCACCAAAACCTACTGCTTTTTAAATAATAAAACACTACACAGGCCAAGTTCTTTAGAATAAGTCGTTTTCGAGTTAGAGTATAGTGTCCCCTCCACCTCTATTTAGGAATACATGAAGCTAATGAAACAAAAGGTTTTAGACAGCTATCCAAAGAGAATGAATTATTGCTTAGGTTTATACTCAGATGAGGGAGAAGTCTACTCTCTTTCTTAATTTTAGGGTAAACAAGCTCAAATCAAACAGAATTATTTTTGCCCAGTACTGTCTTGCTGGTCTAACAGACTAGAAGAAAATATCTGAACAACTCACCATCGTAAGAAGGCTTAGTCACTGCAGAACATTCAGTGTTAGATGGCTGCACCTTTGATTGAGAGAAAACATCTGCCTTAATTTCCTATTCATTCCAGCAAGGCATCATACATACATTTTGCACTGATGAACTATCCTTACCAGACACACTTCAATTCTGTACAACAGATTTATGAGGAAAATGTGTATCACTAAAATAAGTTTTAAGCAACGTTTTCACTGCACACTGCATAGTTTCTTCAGAGTTTATGTAACCCCTTCAAAATATTCCAGCTCAGCACAAAACCAGGTTTTTTTAGTTTGTAAAGCATCGATTGTATACCCATATGACGGACAAAAAACTCAGCTGTGTATTGCATTTTCTTGCCTTTTGGTGTTTAAACTTTCCTAACATTATGCATTAACTTTACTTAATTGCATTCTTGGCTGCTGGATCATCATGAGAAGTAGGATGATTTTCTACAGAGCTAAATTTCAAGGATATTGCTGAGGATGTATTTATATCTAATAACCAACACTGCCCTTATCTGCAGTTACTTAAACCCACAGATCAGGGCTATGTACAGGTTAGGGACTTTAAAAAAAACACAACAACTTGGGGATACCCCCACTTGGGATGGCAGAAAAATATGAAAACTGGGAAAAAATGTAAGGGGGCTAAGTTTCTCAAACCAAAGGAGCTGCTGCTTGATGCAAGAGGTGGTGGCGGCGGCGGCACATCAGATGAGCATGAGACAGGGTGCAGAGCAGGAGTGGGTGGGCAGGTTGGTGGCCAGAGATGAGAAAACCAGATGCCGCCTGAAAAGCCTTTGCAGGTCCCCACTTGTATACATATAAATGTGTATACAGAGAATGATTTCTGTTGAGTGAATCACTTTAGTTGTATAGACAGCAGTCAAAAAGTCAGATAGGAACCTATGTCTCTCCCAGGGGTCATTTCGTAGAAAAAGAGGTGCAGGAGCTCATTAGCATAACTCATTAGCATAACTTATTTGCATATGCCACACCCCCTGACCCACCGCTCAGGTTCCACTGGACTGTTTTGGATTGCTAGCTATTGGGTGGGTGGGGAACGTGCAGACCTGTCCCGGCAGAGGAGGGAGAGCTTGTACCTGAATAAAACTTGGTCTTAAAGGTGCCACTGGACGGTTTTGGACCAGGGGGCCGGGGGGGGGCTCTGCAATTTACCTGGCTGCTTCTTGCTCTGACTGAAGGCTGCTGGGAGCAGGGGGTGGGGCTTGTTGCATGTGCCCGCCCCCTGGGCTCTTTACTGCCGGAGCTCTGCTCCTGTGCGCTTCCTGCAGAAAATAACCCCTGGCTCTCCCAAAGAGCAATGCTCTGGTGTTGAGATGGAAGGGAGAATGAAATCTAGGGATTATCTCAGATTTTTTTAAATTAAGATTTATTGGTTCATTTTACCACAGACATGCTCTCCCTCCAGCTTCCATGTCTCGTCATACACAGAGAAATAATCAGAAATATCGTCCCTTCCAGCATAGCAGCTTCCACACTAGTTCTTACATTTGACTGCACATTGCAGCTGACGGGCTTGTCTGTCAAATGTAGCAGAGGAGCAGCCCCAGAGGCTTCCTTTGTATGGCTTAAGGATAAGTTGATACTCCCCGGCAAGACAGAATAACTTGATACAGAAGCAGGGTCAACAAGAGATGGGTGTACTTCCTGGATTTCAGTAGGGAGTGCATCTGTGTTTGAGTTTTTTCGGCTCGGCAACAAGTCATCAGTGCTATCAGCGTTCTGCAAATAAATAAATAGGTAGCTAAGTATTACGATGTTCAAAGGTTGCTCATTTTTCTGGTAAACTTTTATGAACGCTGATGTGCAAACGTAGGTTAAACATAAGAATGTTTGCATTTCCTTACTGACACACACCAACGTCTATTTAGTCCAATATTCTCTTTTCAACAGCAGGAACAATGCAGAATTATTCCCAGAATAAGTTTGAGTTATATGCATGCTAATGAGTTCCTGCTGGGCTTTTTCTACAAAAAAAGCCCTGAGACTTATTATAGCTTTTGCACAAGCCAGTGTTAAGACCTGTTTAGAAATAATGGCATGACACTCTGGGTCACAACATCAGTGCTAAAATCAGGTCTTTTCTACTGTTAAGTGCCTCTTCTTTCAGTTAGCTTTCTATTTAGCAAAAACATGTAAAAATGTTGCATCGGTGACACCTATATCTTTTGAGACTATACAGAAATTTCAATGGTAACTGCAGATTTTGTGGCGAGCTGAATTTTTACATATTTGTTGGAAATGCGTCACAGTGAAACAGTTTTGGCAGACTGTTACCATCAGTACTCTCTGCAGGGTATGTCTTTAAAGTACATACTTGAATTACTGCTGCTGAACTAGGGTTGCCAAGTCGAAATATCTCCTTACCGGGGGACTCCCGCACTGCGGCTGGAGCGCACGTGCACAAAGCGCACGCACGTCACCCAGAAATGAAGTGACCACGCCGGGCATGCTGGGGGCGGGGCCACGAACATCCGAGGGAAAACCATAGAGTTTTCCCCCAGCCCCCAGCATGCCCAGTGTGGTCGCGTCACTTCTGGGTGACGCGCACGTTGGGGTGGGGTTCCCCCCGGGGCCTGATCTGCCAGCGGCGGGGAACGGGCCTCTGGAGCGGGGTTTTCCCCGCCCCCCAGGGGGACTTGGGAAGCCTAGGCTGAACTATGTAGTCTCTATCCCACAAAGGTATTCGGTCATAGCAGAAGAAATAGTAATTACAAAGATAATGGGAACCATTTTGACTCGGAGTACTTTTAATGAAAATAAGCTGGAGATAATTTTAGCAATTTGAGAAATGGACTTGGATAGTGTGACTTCAAAAGCTAAAGTTCTTTAACTTCTGCCTTGGAAAGGACATTTACCCATGTTCTATCTGAGTAAGAGAGACTACATATTCCTGCTTTTCCCAGTTGGTTGTTACAGCTAAAGTTTAACTAAATAGATTACAAAAGTGGGAGGGTTAACTTTTGGGGGAATGTTTCTTCTCTTGATTGTTTATTTCCAGGGCTATTTTGGGGCAGGAACGCACAGGGAACGGAGGTCCGGCTGGCTTCAGAGTTGGCCACGCCCACTACAGCCAAAACCGTGGGGAATCAAACAGTTTTGGTTATTTCTGACAGAATAGCCATAAAATACTTCCAACAGAAAAGGTGAGTAAACTGTCCGGGATCTTAAATCTAGGGTTTCTCAGGGCTCTGTTCTCTTCCCTATGCTATATAATATTTATATAAAGTTGCTAAATGAGATCGTCCATCGTTTGAAGCTGGGCATTATGAATATGTTCATGACATGTTGATGTCTTTTATGAAGCCTCCAGAAACCGCTTTCTCAGTCCTGAATTAGCACCTTAACACCAAGGTCAAGTGGATGAAGATGAAAGATACTAAATACAGACAAAGTAGAGGCAATGTTGGTTGGTAAAGCTGATGTTCTGGAGGAGCCAATGTTCAATGGACGCTGGCTGTTATTAGCTGATCAGGTACAGAGTTTGGGAGTGCTCTTAGACCAAGAACAACACAATGTAGCTGTTGCTAGAAGAGCCTTCTATCATCAACTTTTCTGGAAACCGTCTTCCCTACTAGACTCAGGGCTCAAATGGATATGGGGTAAAAGAGCTTTTTTTCTTAAAAAGGAAACACCATGTGAACTCTGATTTCCTTTAAAATAAGCCATCTGCGACATCGCACCTTGGAGCTTTCAGCCGAATTGCCTATTTGTGTTACTGCTATGACTCACATTTAACAGACCAGGGCTCTTTTTGTAGAAAAAGCCCAGCAGGAACTCATTAACATAATAGGCCACACCCAACAGCAGAAACTCGTTAGCATATTATGCCACACCCCTGACAACACAGCTTGTTATCATATTAGGCCACACCCCCATGCTGTCAGAAGTGTGGTCATCCAGCCACACCCACCTTTTGCTTCTTATTCTGTTTACCTTGTTTGTTGTCGAAACCCAGGACCTTTTTTTGTAGCAGGAACTCCTTTGTATGCTAGGCCCCTAATGTAGCCAATCCTAATGAGTCTCTGCTGTTGGGTGTGTCTTATTATGCTAATGAGTTCCTGCTGGGCGTGGCCAATTCAGGAGCCAGCCGGAACGCCGTTCCTGTGCGTTCCTGCCCAAAAATAGCCCTGCCAGTTTGGTGTAGTGGTTAAGTGCGCAGACTCTAATCTGGGAGAACTGGGTTTGATTCCCCACTCCTCCACTTGCACCTGCTGATGTGACCTTGGGTCAGTCACAAGCTCTGGCACAGCTGTCCTTGAAAAAGAGCAGTTTGTGTCAGAGTTCTCTCAGCCCCACCCACCTCACAGGGTGCCTGTTGTGGGGAGGGGAAGGGAAAGGAGTTTGTAAGCCGCTCTGAGACTCCAAGTGAAGGGCGGGGTATAAATCCAATCTCTTCTCTTCTTCTTCTTCTTCTTCTACATATGGTGAGGGGTCATTCTGCAAGCAAAGGTCAAGGCAGCCTCTAGCTGGCCTGATGAACACCTTGAGCAATAAGCAATAAGCAATGGATGAGGCACAAGGTCAATACGCTGGGGAGGGGCCCTGCTTGCTCTCCTATTCCATGACAACCTCCAGCTACCAAACAGGGGGACCAACAAAGGAGAATGGAGATAAGAGCACCCTACTTGTGAGCTTCCCGCTCTGCCTTCCCCCTTTCAAGGAAGACAAGAGTGCTAAGACTATCACTTATATTAATTATATATAAAAAAAGAATAAGATTCATGGACACTTACCAAATAATTATTGACACTTTTTTCTGGAGGCAAAAAGAGAGAGAAGTGCTTATTCACCTTTTTTTAATCAGAGCATAACATAGTTAGTATTTTATAGTTCTTCAAAACATAGCTTATAAGTTTTGCTGTCTGCTTAGATGCAATCATTTCTAAGAATAAGAGACACTTAAGCTAGAGAACAGAAAGGCCAATGTCACAAGCACACATCCCTCTCTAGATACTATGCAATTCACTGGTGCACCTGACAGTTCTTGTAATAAGTTGGCACTAGCTCTTAGCACTGGAGGAACACCATGTCCTTCCTGAATGTCCGACTCCCCCCCCCCCAAAAAAAGAGTCACTTGGTCTCTGTTTCTTTACCTCAACAGAAATCCCAAACTGACAATTCCCCTTTCACCTTCTCCCCATTTAGAAACTAAGTAAATGGGGGCCTGAAAAAGAAGATGAATCCCGGCTACGCAGTTCCCTAACATAACCACCAAGAAATGTGTATATAACTTTAATCAAAGAGTGGTTAACACATGGAATTCACTGCCACAGGAAGTGGTGGCGGCTACAAGCATGGACAGCTTCAAAAGGGAATTAGATAAGCATATGGAGCAGAGGTCCATCAGTGGCTATTAGCCACAAAGTATAGATAGGGGCTCTGGGGCAAGTGATGCTCTGTCTTCTTGGTGCTTGGGGGGGGGGTCAACAGTGGGAAGGCTTCTAATGTCCTGGCCCCACTGGCGGACCTCCTGATGGCACCTGGTATTTCTGGCCACTGTGTGACACAGAGTGTTGGACTGGATGGGCCTTTGGCCTGATCCAACGTTGGTGTCTCTCATGTTCTTAATCAAAGACCATTTTATGAAAAGCTGTCAAAGGGAACTCCAGGCTGCTTTCACTCTGACAAATTCTACGACAGGCACACTTTCCTCCTCCAAAAGTAGGCCTCTGTTCATATACTATATATATACTATGTATATATTAGATTCTCCATCTGAAGGGACTGTGCCTAGATCCTGAAATTACTTCTAAACTTGTATGTCAAAGAACTGCAACCAACCATAGTCGTGGAATTGTCTTTTCTGATGGAATCTAGATACTGATCTACTGCTGCCACATTTAAAGAACAGATCTTGTATATTAAATTTTTTGTATATTCTGTAATCATTATTTAATAAATGTGTATTTTCTTCAGGTCATATAACTGTAGATCATTATTTTGAAACAGTTATCCTAAATATTAAACAAATTACCTTCCTTGCTGCAAGAAACACAGTATTTCTTGCAAAAAAGACCAATACCGATCACAGTAATGAAAACAGCACATAGGGCAATGTACAATATTGGCATGTATTCAACGTGAGAAGCTCCTAAAAGACAGGAAGAAACAAGCATGTAAAGATCTTGCTCATAACTTTTCATGCAAACCATTTAAAGTATCGAATACTGGGGAGGGGGGGATGGGTTGCTTTTGATAATACAACTGTGTCTTTTATAGTAAGAAGAATTAGAAGTGGGAAGAGAGCCACAAACAGGAAAAGGAGGATGCTTCCCAGGGAAGTAGAAGATGGGTATGATACTGTAGCCTGAGTGTTCCCAACCTTGGGTTTTTCTTATCAAGAAACAACACAAATGCAGAAAAAAATATAATCACAATAGTACAGAGAAGTAAAGTCCCAAAAATGTCAATGTGTCTCACTCCTGTTGTACTATATGAACTATATGAGTCTACTCCATGATGAATGCATGTCAAGTTGGACTATAAATAATTTTTTTAAAAAAAAAGTTGGACTATGAAATTATAATATAACAGGAGTGAGACACATTGACATTTTTGGGACTTTACTTCACTGTACTATTGTGATTATATTTTTCTGCATTTGTGTTGTTTCTTGTAAGAATAGTTAGGCTTCATCCAATACAAGACACACATGCACACAAACAAATGCAGTTATTCTGACAGGGAACAATAGCAGTGGGCAGGGAAGAGGAGCGATCCCACCACCCAGCCAATGGCACATGATTACTCTTGGATGGCAGTTGATGGGCCAATGGCTGATGGAGCACACAGCACAGTCAATGAGAGAGCTGGAAATGGCCAACGCGTTAGGAGAATTTTATATATATATATATGTGTGTGTGTGTGTGTGTGTGTGTGTGTGTGTGTGATTCCAATTGAACTTCTTATAGTAGTAGCTTCATGCTGCAGTTAGACAGGTACCACTGAACTTAATTGGAATTACCCGCCCATAACTTCACAGGACTGTAGCCAAAGCACATTTGTGGTTTCCATATAGTTATTTGCCCCGTGTGTTAAATTCTCTCTGATAGTGTGAATTTTGCAATTTAAAAAAGTTTTAATGCTTACAAAAGTATGACCATGTAAAAGCTACAAGAATGGACCAGAAGATTCAGACATAAGGCCATTGCATAAAATCTTCTGGTTAGCTTGCTTTATATGTTCACTACAATCCTAATTCTGGTTATTAATGAAGGCGAGAGAGACACAACAAATCTAGAAATCAGTCTGTACATACTGTACCTGTAGGAGGTGGCCCACACTCCATGTCTGCCGTGGCATTGCAGTTTTGCACAGTTACCTGGCCTTCTGGACACCTACATGGTGGATTAAAAAAAAAAAAAAAAGACACTCTGGTCAATTAAATGGTGTTTGTGTCCTCTGCTAAAATATGGTATAAGCATGTACCTCCACACACAGATGGAATTATCTCCTATATATGACCAGAAATTGTGTAACAACCAATATTGTAACAAAGTTGCCAATACAATTTTTCTCAACATTTTCTGTTGTGCTCTGAGTGATCATCTGGCAGTCAGAAGGCAAAAGACCACCTGTTATTTTACCAGAGCTATGAATGTCACCAAGTAGGTGACAGCAAACATTTTATTTCATTATTTATTAGAAAAGGCTGCCATGAGGACTGCCTATCCTCCAAAGGTAAAGGTTCCCTTGCTCGAAAGCCAGTCGAATCCGACTCTAGGGTTGCAGTGCTCATCTCCATTTCAAAGCCGAAGAGCCAGCACTGTCCGAAGACATTTCCGTGGTCATGTGGCCGGCATGACTAAACACCAAGGCGCATGGAACGCTGTTACCTTCCCACTGAAGTGGTACCTATTTATCCCCGCCCGCTTGCGGGGAGGGCGGGGTATAAATGAAATAAAATAAATACTTGCAATTACTTGCTTTCGAACTGCTAGGTTGGCAGGAGCTGGAACTAGAGATGGGAGCTCATTCAGTCATGCAGCACACTCGGGTCTCAAACTGCTGAACTACTGACCTTCCACAGCCTGCAGTTCAGCATCTTAACCACTTGAGCCACCGCAGCTCCTCTAGCCCTCCAGAAATCAAGGGCATACCTAGCAACACTGCATTCTCCTGTGGGCCACCAGCTATAATTATGGGAACATTGTCATGAGTAGTAAAGGTCGCTGGATACACCTATCTTGCATGCCTCACGAGCTAAGAGGCATCTTCTCCATGTTATTTTGCAGAATTGCAGGACCTTTCGAATGGTGAACTAAACTCTGACAGTGAGAAGGAGCAACATTCAAACCCCTCCACAAGGATCTCAACTGGTACATGCACTGATACAGGGATAGGTGAAATGCTTTACAGGTAAATAAACTGCATCATGAATTGAGTGCAGAAACAAACCGACAACCATTAAAGTTGGTCTACTACAGGTGAAATATACACTCAAAATGGATATCTGTGAATAGGAGTGTAGCAGCATTTTATAATGGATGAAGTTTCCAGGATACCTTCAAATGCAGTTTCATGTTAAGGGCATGACAATATTCTTGTCAAAACCCTACATTTGACATGCATGGATGTTATAGTAGCAGTCAACATTTGACAGTATCACACATACACCACTGCAGTATCTGATAGCTACTGTGACGCATCATTGGTTAAAAGACATTAAAAGGTAAAGGTTCCCCTTGCTCGAAAGCCAGTCAAATCCGACTCTAGGGTTGCGGTGCTCGTCTCCGTTTCAAAGCCGAAGAGCCAGCGCTGTCCGAAGACATTCCCGTGGTCATGTGGCCGGCATGACTAAACACCAAGGCGGACGGAACGCTGTTACCTTCCCACCAAAGTGGTACCTATTTATCTACTTGCAATTTCTTGCTTTTGAACTGCTAGATTGGCAGGAGCTGGAACTAGAGATGAGAGCTCACTCCGTCATGCGGCAACTCGGGTCTCGAACTGCTGAACTACCGACCTTCCACAGCCTGCAGTTCAGCGTCTTAACCACTTGAGCCACCACAGCTCGTTAACCTATTACAAAATTTGCAATCAGCATATGTCCCCTTGATCATCACACTCAGTTCTAAAACCCAAATGTTTGTTTCTGGGGTAAAATTTAGACATCAAAATCCAAATAGCGCAATTAAATACATTTAGAGTTCCCTCAAACTTTAATTTCATCTCTGATCCCAACGTATCTTGGACACTTGCATAAACTTCTGCTTATCACAGGGTGATTTGCACAGAAAAGTTTTCACAAAGAGCATCCAGAAGAATCAGTGAGAAGTCCTTACAGGACTGACTACCGTCTGGCACTCACGCTTTGCCACAACGAAACTGACGGGGCCAAACCTCATGTATATGAAAATGAAACAGGGTCAATAGAAATCAGTAGTCACTTTTTTAAAACCATCTTGTTTTTAAATTATATTTTTAATTTGTAAACTAAACACTCTTTTTAGACTATCCTAATTAAAATAATGTCTAAACAGAAAAACAGTAAGACTACATGTAAGCTCTTAAAACGACAACTGTGGAAGAGAACATATGAATTACTATGGTATACACTGACAAGCACATGGACTCGATGACTGTTTTTGAAGTCAAGCACTAAAAACATGGCAAAAGAGGTTATATGCTATGTTATTATGTATGATCTTGCTGCTGGATTTGCATGTCTCCAGCTCCATTATAGGCACTGGGAACCAGCTCTTGCGCTGCAAGATGTGTGTGTGTGTGTGTGTGTATTACTAAGCGTTTGTGTACTGTTTTGGTTCGAGTGTTGGACCAGGATTGGAAGACATGAAACTCACTGGGTGATCTTGGGCTAGCTACTCTTGCTCAGCCTAGCCTACCTCACAGGGTTGCTGAGAGGATAAAAAGGATGAAGGAAGACCCATGTATATCATCCAGAGCTTTTCTGAGAAGGGGATCGATGGATACGAGAATCATACACTGCATCACTTCAGCTGATCTTGTAAACTCCTGTTTTCTCAGAAGTTAAAAATACTTAGTGTCTACAAACAAAGATATTTCGTTTTCATCTCGGAAACTACTCTGTCCAGTGATTAGCTAGCACTTCTGGGAAGTCCTTGTCTCTTAGCTGTCTCTAAAAATGCAAGGATATGTGCTGCAAAGAGAAACAGTTCTAGTTTGTTTAATTTGTTTGTCAGGTGGGGTGGGATTAAGTCAAACCAGGAATGTTATGCGATGCAAAAGTGGAACAGAAAAGTAAAGCTGGAATGTATACACTCATATCCAGTCCCTATATAGTGGTAAATTAACATGTTTTAGTGATCATATTAACCAATTAGTATGCATTACTGTTTAGGAAAGATGACATAACAATAGCAAACTTGATTTTAAGTTAGACTTTTTTCTTGGTAAATTAAATCATGGTTTAAAATTGCCTTGATTTAAAATCAGTGTACGCTGAAGTTGAAACATATCCTAGCAAAAGAGCCAGTGGCATCTATTATACAAGATAACCAAGTCTAATATAAACGGGAACCACATACGCTCATAAAAAATAATCACAAAAAACCATTAATATACATACATTGTCTTGCATTTCAGACATTCTTCACAGTCTGGAGGACAGTAATATCCGTCGTTACATCGACATTCAGCATTGCTCTTTACAGTACAAGGCTTCACCATCGTTGTGCCTGAAAAAGTAAAATGGTCAGGTTTCCTAAACTCATTAATTGTAATTTTCTCTTTTTTTTCCAGTCAAGCATTAGGATACACAAGGCAATCCACACAAAATACTTTAGCTTGGAGAAACGACGACTGAGGGGTGACATGATTGAGGTTTATAAGATTATGCATGGGAAAGAGCAGGTAGAGAAAGAGGTACTTTTCTCCCTTTCTCACAATACAAAAACTCGTGGGCACTCAATGAAATTGCTGAGCGGTCGGGTTAGAACGGATAAAAGGAAGTACTTCTTCACCCAAAGAGTGATTAACACTTGGAATTCACTGCCACAGGAAGTGGTGGCAGCTACAAGCATGGACGGCTTCAAAAGGGAATTAGACAAGCATATGGAGCAGAGGTCCATCAGTGGCTATTAGCCACAAGGTATAGATAGGGACTCTGGGGCAAGTGATGCTCTGTCATCTTGGTGCTTGGGGGGGGTCAACAGTGGGAGGGCTTCTAATGTCCTGGCCCCACTGGTGGACCTCCTGATGGCACTGGTATTTCTGGCCACTGTGGGATACAGAGTGTTGGACTGGATGGGCCTTTGGCCTGATCCAACATTGGCATCTCTTATGTTCTTATGTTCTTATGTTCTTACTAGTTCTTTCTCTCTACAGGAACTAGAAAGAATATTTTACATATATTAAAAAAAAACCCACAGATTCCCGAGTGGCATATCAGGAAAATCTGGTGAGTGGGTTAAAGGTAAAGGTAAAGCTTTCCCTTGCTCGAAAGCCAGCTGAATCTGACTCTAGGGTTGCGGTGCTCATCTCCGTTTCAAAGCCAAAGAGCCAGCGCTGTCCAAAGACGTTTCCGTGGTCATGTGGCCGGCATGACTAAACACCAAGGCGCACGGAACGCTGCTACCTTCCCACTGAAGTGGTACCTATTTATCTACTTGCAATTTCTTGTTTTCGAACTGCTAGGTTGGCAGGAGCTGGAACTAGAGACGGGAGCTCACTCCGTCATGCGGCATCCGGGTCTTGAACTGCTGAACTACCGACCTTCCACAGCCTGCAGTTCAGCGTCTTAACCACTTGAGCCACCGCAGCTCTGGTGAGTGGGTTACAGCAGTGCAGAACAAAAGCTTGAGGTAGCCCCACCACTGAGTCAAGGGTTTAAACTGATAGCGGGTCCCCTTAGCAAAATGTTAAGAAAAGCAGAGCATTATCTATCTGGAGAACAATGCTGAGCTTCTAAAAACCTAATAGCAGCAAGCAGTACCTGTAAAGATAAATTTCAAAACCATACTATACCAGATTTGCATTCATCACAAAGCAGGCATGTATCGAGACCATTTTCATGAGCTGTGTAATCCTCTCCTTCTGTGCAGGCTGCACAGTGCCCCAAAGTATGTGGCGTGTTGCAGGGTTCATCAACATGGGTACCTATGAAGGAAGTAAACAAACATTTAGACTTCTAGTTCAGATTGTATTCGAAAACATGAAACTTGCTTTCATTGCCATGTGAATCTTACTGCCTGTTTTTTTTTAAGTTTACATTTTGCAAGAGCTGTCCACCCATATATACAGTCCAATTATATTATATTAATTATATTAATGGTTACACAGAAACAAGTCCTTCTGTATTACTACCATGTCTTGGTGACTAATTTTAATTTACTTCAACAATTATTTATCCTCTGCCTTCTTTGTGCAAACTCAAGGCAGCTAACACAACAGCATTTGCTGTAGGACACTGGTATTCATGTGTCAAGCAAGTCAAAAATACTACGCAAAAACCAGGACTCCAAGTAAAACACAGCCAGAACAGTTTAGGTAAAGGTAAAGGTTTCCCTTGCTTGAAAGCCAGTCGAATCCAATTCTAGGGTTGCGGTGCTCATCTCCGTTTCAAAGCCAAAGAGCCAGCGTTGTTCAAAGACATTTCCGTGGTCATGTGGCCGGCATGACTAAACACCGAGGTGCACGGAATGCTGTTACCTTCCCACCAAAGCAGTACCTATTTATCTACTTGCAATTTCTTGCTTTCGAACTGGCCTATTAATTCCATTTTACACACTTTCAAAAGGCAAGAGAAAAAAAATACATAAACAATTCATATAATTTAATTTGCCTTCTGTGAATCTGAAGCCTCTTTTTACGTAGCAACATGTCTATGTGATTTTTTGCTTTATAAGAGGGGTAATTCATTTTCAATCTCTCCTCAGTAGCTTTCAAAAAATCATGCCTCAGTACCATTTTGTCCTTTTTAGCCTTCCAAACAGTTAGTTCATGTCTTTTCCTTTTCCAGTTTTTCTTCTTATTGTGAGAAAATCTTTGCACCTTTCTTTTTATTATCTCCCTCTTCATATAGCTCACTTTTGTTGTCTTCTTATTTCGCCTTAATGTTGGTAAATATAACATCTCTGTACTTTCTTTTTCTTGCTAAGTCACGAAAGCCCCCTCTAAACTCTGTGCACATTGTTCCGGTTTTTCAGGACTCTCTATCTCCAGCTGAGGGTCATGCAAACTTGCAAATGCTTGTTCTATCCCCTTTTGTATTCCCTCCTTTAGAATCTTTAGAAATTGATCAACCGACATTTCAACCACCAAAGTATTTTCATCAGTTTCATCCTCTATGTCGGTTTCCCTTGCGAGCGCCATTTTAATCACTCTGTTTACACACGCTCATTCAGGTTTCGTAACTAAATATCATTCAATTGGAATTTCAAACTTCTTCAGCATCAGCATCAGTTATAAATCATGTCCAATGAGAACAACCACTGTTGCCCTGAAAGGAAAATATCACTTGACGCTTAACTCCTTCCCTCTCAATTTCTAGCCACTTTCTTTTTCGATTTTAAGTCATTAAATTCGGGGTATTTTGCCAACCTTCTTCTTTGAACTTCTTTGAACTTAAAGATATATGTACTCACAGTTCTTTTCTTTTTCCTTCTGTATTGCTCTGTTGCTGTAATTGTAATCCATGTAAATTCAAGTATAAGTAAAACATGAAGCGGCAGCTGTGAGGAACATGGCAGCCATGTTCTCCTTCACAGACTGCTCTTGCTTCAGGGCACGAAGTGGAAACCTCCCCCACATTTGCCAGTCACGGGAGGGGCCACAACAAAGCCCCCTGCTCCAGATCTCTCTCCGGGAGATCTGGCGGGGTTCTTCTGGGGAGTGGAAGGCCCCAAAAGAAGCAGAATGGAATCGGGCGTCTCAGAGCAATCCAAGCACCGCCCGTCGCCGTGCCGTTCCGACCGGCATAAAGCATTAAATGTTAACTGTTGTCAGACTCCTGTATTTTACTTTGGGGAGAGAGGAAATGGCATGGCGTTAACTGGCAAGTGAGTCCCTCACTTTGCAGGGGAAATTGCTCCCATCGCCCCTTTTCCGAGCAGCTCTGCTTCTAGGCAAATCACTATCTCTACAACTCAAATGTGTGATACAGAGAACCTATCTTTTTATTGTACGTTATTTATAGTTCACCTTTCTCACTGAGACTCAAGGCAGATTACACAGTGTAATTCAACCAACAGGATGAGATACCTAATAAACAATGTCATAGTATGAGGATTAATAACAGGAATCTGAAACAAAGCATAAGTATTAAACCTCATATGTTAAACGCACAAAAAAGCATTTCATACAGGGGTCATTTCCTGTGGGCGCGCACAGGAGTGGAGCTCCGGCAGTAAGGAGCCCAGGGGCGGGCACATGCAACAAGCCCCGCCCCCTGCTCCCAGCAGCCCTCAGTCGGGCCACAAGGAGCAAGAAGCAGCCAGGTATGTTGCAGAGCCCCCCCCCCGCCTTCAGGTACAAGCTCTCCCTCCTCTGTGAGGGCAGATCTGCGTGTTCCCTCCCCCCCCCCATAGCAGTCCCGCGGCACCTTTAAGGCCAAGTTTTTTT